CACTTGGGGCTACAAAAATGAGTTAAAGAAATTCAAATGGTTGACAAGAAATATGTCTATAACAGTACAATGGGTTGGGAGATCAGCTAATGCTTTTGTTGATGTCTTGGCAAAACAAGGGATAAATAGGGAAACATTGTTCTGGGCACAATTGTAACTATTGTTTTAATTTCAACATTCATGTTTTATCTGTTGTAGTTTGTGTATTTGCTGTTTGGAGAGGCTGCTCCTCCCGCCTCTAAGGGGATCTTCTTGTATCTATTCATTATTTTAATGGAATTGATGTTATTTATCAAAAAAAAAAGATTCTTGCTTATAACCAATTGAAGCCATAAGGAACATATCACAGCTCAATTGGATATGGAAAAAGAGATTTGTGAGGAAGTACACCATGAGTTTGCTATAGGAGTTCAACTATTCAAAAGTTGAGAGTTAAGCCTATGGTAAAAATTCCACCAACACCAATAATGAATTGAAGTTTGTTGAAGAGCCAATGCCGATATTGAAGGAAAAGTTTCATATGTTGCAATTGGAGTTTCATGGTTTTTCTTTGAAAACAAATGCACCTCCTTGGAAGGTCTTAGAAGGCATAGCCTTGCCTTGGTAAACTCAGGGCTGTCAATGGGTCAGGTCTACCTGACAGAACTCAACTGATTATGTCAGTTCTGGTTCTGTGGTTTTGTCTTGATTAATAATTGGATTGGGACCAGTTCTAGCTGTTCCGAACCGATTCAGACCTAAATCAATTATATGGTTAATAATACATAAAGGCCTCCTGGTTTTCTTGTAACTTTTGTTACATTTTATGTCCAAAAGGGTAAATTTCATAAATAGTATATAAGGTAGTTTTGGTCAAAAACACATTTTATTAACATTTATAATAGTTTACTACTGTACTGTCATTTTTTCTATGGTTATTGTAGAGATATTGGGCTGAATGGACCTTAGTTTCTATAATTTGTTTGTCTTTTTATTACACTTTATTTCTGAGTTAGTGGGCCATCATTTATAGGCCTGTTACAGCCTTTTTGTATGTTTATTGAGTCAACCACCCAACTTGGGGCATTTATGTAATTTCATCATTAATTATGATTTTCCCTAGTAAAGCTTAATTAGGGGTCTGGATAGGAACATGGTTCACTTTTCTCCAGCTCCTTCTCTCCACAGTTATGAATCTCTATTTCTCTAATCTCTTCTTCCAATCTCTCTTTTCTTATTCAAATACACTTCTATTGCTGATTTTAATCTTCTACTTGGTATCAAAGCAGGTGCTCTTCCTTTTCTTTCTTCTTTCAGCGCATATACTGTAGGATCAGTAGTTTGTATTTGAGTACTAAGTTGCTGAGCATTTGAAGTTGATTTTGCCTGATTGGGAGAGGATTTAGGAGTTTTGTTTTGCTGCCCAGAAAGGTTGTTGGATAGTTTTCCCCTAAATTTGAATCGACTCAAGAGGAGGAGCCCTTTTTGGTTGGTACCTAGGGAGTTTTCCAAGCTGGCGCTTGGTGATTAAAAGGACACTAGTGGATCTTCTTTGAGATCATTCTACCTTGGCGATCATTTGGTGATCACTGGTAGGAGTGGTTTGTGTTTTCTCTATAATCCCAGGTTGTAGGGTTGTGTGAAACCCTAGAATTGGTTCTTCTCTTACTTGGTTCACATTCGGAGGTCAGTGATTAAGGTCCAATTGGTTTTCTTTTGTTTTCAGAACACTCCATATTGAAGTTTTTGGATTAATGGAATAATCTAATGGAACTTAAGTAAGGAACTGAATTCAGATTGGATCCGGGAGGGTTTATGGATTCTTTGTTGGGTGTAGTGACTACTGTGAAGCTAGACGGGATCAACTATTTGGCTTGGTCTTAATCAGCAAGGGTTCATGTTTGTAGTAGAGGAAAGTGGGGGTACCTCACAGGTAGTAAGAAGAAACCTAAGGAGGATGATCCTACTTATGAGAAGTGGATGTAGGAGAACTACACTATTATAGGCTGGCTAGTAAATTCTATGCAACCTCATATTAACCAATACTACTTATGGATAGATACAACAAAGGAGATATGGGATAGTATTGCTGAAACTTATTCCCAAAAGTTAAATTGTTCACATTATTTTTCAACTTATAGGCTCTAGCCAGCCTATAAGCTTGTTGAGATTATGTATTGTGGGTAGGGGTATTATTGTCTTTCTATTTTATTTGTATTTGGGTGCCCATTCAGGGGAATGGATGCAATTTCATTATTAAGTTAAAAGGGAACTTATTGGGTGTGAATAGTAATGCACCCTAACACCCTATTCTCCGAAACCTTCTTCCCACAATATTCATGTGTAGGTTGGAATCTTGGAAGAGCTTCCTTTTCTGACCCTTGAACACAGGAAGATTTGTTGATGTCAGACCACTGCTAGATGATATCAGCACTCTATAAAGTGCTGATGGCAACCCTTGAATCTGGTTCAGTTTTGTGCACCCTGATTTTAGGAAGATTTTGGTATGGGTCTCATCTCCTTTGGATACTTCTATGCTTTTCCTGGACTTTTCAATAAAAAATTACAAAAAAATACAGGTTCAATGTTTGGGGTTTTCTCTTCCCATTTGAGGTTGGTTCTTGCTTAAGACCTGTTGTCCTCAGGTTGTTTTACTTTTCTTGGGGTATGGGAAGTGGTTCCACATTTTTCTGAACCTTGGTTATTTTTTGGGTGATTTTACTCTTCTCCTGTATAGCACCTATATTGCTTCTAGCTTTGCTTTTGGCCTCTCGTTGGCTTCCAATCGAGTGTTCACCTATTCTGGTGGGTGTATTGCGTGCTGATTGGTTGTTGGAGTTCTATAAGGCTGTCAAGTTGCTAGTCCAAGTCTAATGGAATCGCCTAAGGAAGTGTAAATGGTTTTTGGAGTGCTCCTAGGTGATGTGGATGCTTCCAGTGCTATGATAACCACTGTAAAACTTATTGGAACCAATTTTCTAGAGTGGTCTTAATAAGCCAAACTTACCATTAGAGGAAGGGGTAAGTTGA